CCCTGCAGCCTCCACAGGACGGGGCAGCAGCCTGAGGCCTCCCCCGGACACGGCCCAGCCCCAGGAGCTGGCGAAGCTCCTGTGGGTCCCACTGCAAGGGAGCCGACCTGCCTGCAGAGGCCTCCCAACGTGGGGCAGAGGGGCACACGGGCACGGCACGGCGTGGGGTGCAGCACAGCATGAGGAGGTAGCACAGAATGTGGATGCAACACAGATTGAGGGTACAGCCCTGTATGGGGCACTCCACAGCATGAGGGTATGGCACAGCGCGAGGGTACAGCACAGCGCGAGGGTACAGCACAGCACGAGGGTATGGCACAGCATGAGGGCACAGCACGAGGGCACGGCACAGCACGAGGGTACGGCACAGCATGTGGGTAGGGCACAGCATGAGGGTATGGCACAGCACGGGCACCTGCCAGACTTGCCCCCCTGCTCCATGCAGCGTAGGTTTGCTGAACACCGCAGGAAGGGAGTGGAGGGCAAAGCGTTGCCCCAGCTCATCGGGAGCACTGGCAAAGCAGGAGGGAAGGAGGAAGGGCATGGCCTGGGGCAGAGGACCAGTGGGGGTGACGCCACATCTGGCAGCGGGCGGTGATCCTGTGTTCACGCTCTTTCCTAGCACAGGGACGGGGGATGCTGCAGAGTGCAACAGGAGGCCGTCGCGGACAGCAGCAGTGGCCATCGGCACCGGGCAGGCAAGCTGTGGGACTCGCTGCTGCGGGGTGCCCTGGACGCTGAAGGTTTATGCAGATTCCAAAAGCCATTGGAGCAATCCGTGGAGGAAAATCTTATCTAGAGCCAATAAGTAATGAGGCAGATGTACAGTCAAGAGCTACCAGAGCACAAATCCCTGGGGCCTGGGAGGCCGGAGTGGGGCCGCTCGGATATGCGCTTGTCTTTCTGCAGGCCAGGATGGGCCGTAATGACCTTCCTCATGTTCTTGCACCTTGCGGGGGGTGGCACCAGGCCTGTGCCGGGGGTTTGGGGTGGACTGAGGCGCCAAGCAGGCCAAGTGGTGAGGCCCGTGCTGGGAAGCGATACTGGCTGCAGCGAGGCTGAGGAGAGGGGCTGGGAGGGCTCCAGGCACTCCCTGGAGCTCACATCGCGCTCCCGCAGGAAGCGCTCAATTTCTAAAAAAGAAGTCGGAGGAAAACAGGATGTTGTGTAAGGGAAAGGCTGCATATATTTGCATGGTTATAAGCTGGTTGCGTAACCAAATGCATCTGAATAGTATCTGAATACTCTTTGGAGGCATGGGGAAATAGAGGAAAAGAAAGGGCTGGGCATGTCCACCGCCCAGCACGGGAGGACACGAGTCCCTGCGGGAACATTGCACCACAGTGGACGCACTGGGAAATTGCTCTGTGACCAGGTCGAGAGCAAAAACCCAGGGCCTGAATGGCAGGGAGTCCAGCCAACCATGCCCTGAGCTGCAAGGAATCCAGCAAACCATGTCCTGGCCCGTGGGGATCTATTAAGCATGTCCCAACCCACAGGGATCCATTAGCCATGTCTTCACCCGCAGGGATCCATTAACCGTGTCCCGGCCTACGGGGATCCATTGACCATGTCCTGACCCGCAGGGATCCATTAGCCATTTTCTGACCCGCGGGGATCCATTAACCATGTCGTGACCCGCAGGGATCCATTAACCGTGTCTCGACGCGTGGGGATCCATTAACCGTGTCAGGGCCCGCAGGGATCCCGCAGGGATCCGGCTGTCCATGCCCCAGGCAGACAACCCGGCGGCGCTGGCGGGAAGCAGCTGCGGTGCCCCAGCATGTGCTGCGTTCCTGGTGAGCGATGGGGCCGTCCCCGCAGCCGTGTCCCCTCCCGCAGGGCACCGGCACCGCCGTCACCCTGCGGGAGGTGACACGGCTTCCCGCAGGCCTTTCCCCGGGAATCCCTGTGCACCATGCGCGGGCTCCACACAGCTGCTGGGCAGCCCTTCCAGCCGTTCTCCCCCCCCAGTTGGAACCCTCTCTCCTCATGTCCTGCCAGTTCCGACCCGTTTCCTCTCCTGCACGCCCCGTCCTTCGGCTGCAGCTCCCCCTGCTCCAGGGTTTTTCGCCGATAAAGCCACCCTCACAACCTTATCTCCCTTCAGCTTCTGTGTGGACAAGCTATGAGCTGGCCTGCTCTCATCTCCGCTCTGCAGCCCCCCAGGCGTCTCCTCTGCACCTTTTCTGCCAGGAATTTGTGTTTTTCAGCGTGGCTGCTCAGCACTGCTGCTCTGTAACGCATGGTCTATGCAAGAGCACTGGCACCGTCTGCCTTCCCTGGAAACGTATCCCCAAATTCAGGAATGCATCACGTCTTCATGGCTGCGTTATGTGGTTGCTGCCGACATACAGGTCTTTTCCTCTTTAATTGTTTCCAAAGCAGGGGCTCCTAAATCACTGCACAAATGTTTGTTCTTTGGCTCCAGGGCATGACTTTGCATTTCATACCATTCAATTTCCTCCCAGGACTGTTAGTTCAGCCTTCAATGTCATCCCTTGCTCCCAAAAGCTGCTCCAGCCTCCTGCCCTCCCGTTTCACTGCCTCACCTTTCAGCACGGCTCGCTGACACGCGTCCGTATTTTGCTACAAGGTCATTGATAAAAATATTAAATGAATTTGGCTCGTGGCCTGGGTTAGGGCTGGCACCTGGAGCCTCCAGTGCCCTTCAGCACAACCCGCCTGGTGCCATGCGGGACACGGGCCGTCCCCAGCCCTGCAGCAGCCAGGCCGCAAGCTTCACAGACAGAAGTTGCTTTTTGTGCTGTCCTGCCTGCTCCTGTGACCTGCTGCTGTCCATGTCCATGTTTGTCTTGGTTTTGCCTTAAGAGAGCAGCGGTGGGATTTGGGCAGAAAAGCTCCAGGGTGTCTCCTCTAACTTTAAGCTGGGCTGAAAGTCTGTTAGGCAAGGAGTTTCTCCTGGTGGACGTTTTCAACTCAAAAGAAAAGGGAACAAAAGACACTGGTAAAAGGAAAGCCTTACTTAATTTTCCACTTAACTGGTTCTACTTCTTTTTGTTACAAAAAGGCCAGAAAAGCCTGCTGGAGCGGGGAGGGCGCCAGCTATTGTTTCAGCCCAGGCTGCTCTTACCTGCTCCCTGCTGCAGCAGCACTGGCTCTTCAGCTGCCACCCCCGGGCCAGAGCCCGGGTCACCGCTGCTGCAGTGGCGCCCCGGAGCTCTGGGCCGGCCGCAGGACAGCTGTGGGGACAGGGCACGGGGACATGGTGCGGGGACACGGCACAGGGACAGGGCAAGGCTGGCCACCTGCCTGGGAATGAAGCCTTCCCTGAGCCTGGGTGGCTCCGTGTGTCCCGGAGCAGCAGAGCCGGGAAGGACCTGAAGGATCCGGCTCTGACCCACTAAAGGAAGGCTGGAGAGCCAGCGCTCCCGACGGCCGGGTGCGTGGGGCTGCGGTTCCGTGCTGCAGGATCTGGGCCCTG